GAAAAAAAAACAGTTTTCTGGACCTTGTGATTATTTGGGTGTGAGATGACAGAGAACTAATGTAGGCTAAATGCCTCACCACCCCAAAAGGAGATGATGGATGGATGGATGGATGGATGGATGGATGGATGGATGGATGAAAATACAGATAAAAACACAGATATGTGAAGAGACCATGGATGAATGGATGTGTTGTGGAGGTAGTATTGACACAGGAAGGAACTAGAAGAATAGGAAATTAAATATAACCTCTTGGTGCCAGAACATCTAGTAAAATCTGACAGCATTCATGAAGATAAACACAGGAAGAAGGAGCAAGCTACTAAAAAGGGGGAAAGAATTCAGCATTGTGACTCAGATAAAAATTTATGGGGAATTATCTGCTAAAACACTGCTACATGCAAATATGTTCCTTGGATGCTCATGACTGACTAGACAGATCAGTCATCTTATCCCAAGGGTGAGTTTTGCCTCCTGGGGACCAACAGGAAGATTGACCCTGAGATTGCAGGGGTGAAAGTGAACCAAGACTGTCACAGAACTCATCATCCTGGATTCTGGTGAAAGTTCTCAATTAATGAGAACAAAAACAGGAACATAAATTCTTCAAGTGTTTGGCACGTTGTCTTTTCTCCCTTTAAACTATGTGTTGGAGCCATCTGAAGACAGATCACACTCCAGTCACACTGTCTGGGGATTCTTTGGGAGCTCTCCCCTTGGAAAACCCTCATCCATCCTCAAGGTACCTCCTCTCTGAAACCTTCCTTCTCAGTGTGGACTTGGGCTGGAACAATGCTTCCCAGGATTTCCTTCCCTGAATTGTTCAAAGTTAGCGTGGGTCATAACACATTTTGCATGAATTTTGGAAGGTTGAATTAAAACAGAAGCCATGTTCATTTACACTCCGAAGGTCCACACAGGAGCAGCTGGTGCAGTTTCGACAGGTGTGTTGTCACTAATCCACTGGCTCATTTAATTGGCCCGGGGAAGAACCAAGCAGACCAATAGCAACTTCAGCTTCCACCAGATCATCCTTCACGTTTTCTGACACCTGGGATTAGACTCCTGATGAAAGGCACCTGGACTCAGACACCATGGAAGCTGAAGGCCTGAAGGCAAGAAGAAAAAGAGGCGAACTCTGGGCCCTCTTTCTGCTCTCCAGGGTTTCCTTGCTGAAGCCACATCAAAGTAATCTTCCTCACCTAAATGTCTGCCCCATTGACTTCAGGCTCCAGGACCAATTGCAAAGGTGACCAGGAGTTGGCAAACGATGGGCTCTGGGCAAATACAGCCCTCTGCCTGCTTTGTAGAGTTTTCTTGATGCACAACCACACCCATTTGTTTAGGAACTATGCTCAAGAGATTGTACGTCTCTCAAAAGCCATAAATATTTATTTTCTGGCCTTTTACAAAAAAGGGATGCCAAATCATGACAAAGACAAGAGCTTCTCGGAGACTGTTAAATCCACACCCACAATCGTGCAAGGTCAAATCCCTACATGTAAATGTGTGTACAAAACACATGTGTGTTTGTGCATGCGCACATGTGTTTATGTATACACATATATTTACTGATCAAGTATTTGGTCTCTAGGATCCAACCCTAATTGGCACACAATCTCTGTGCCATCTCTCACTTTCAAAGCAGGAAATGGAATGCCTTCCTTACTCTTCTGCCACCGGATTTTGCGATTCTAGCACTTGCCATATTGAGTTGTAATTGGTCTGTATCTCCATCCATGTAGTCTCTTTTACTAAATAATGAAATTTTAGAAGCTCCTCTGCTCCAAATGCAGTGCTTGATAAAGAGCAATTAAACAGATGAATAAGGAAGTGAATAAGCATCCCAGTGAGTGAGCAAGTATAGAAAAAGACAAAAGGATGTTTCTCTTCCCCTCTTTTGGCCTTTCTGGCTTCTGCCAGTCCCCGTGGCTGCACACCAGCACACAGAGCCAGTTTGGCAGGTGCTGGTTAACTCTGGACTACACTCGGCCTGGGGCTGGCACAGCCTGCTCAGCGAGACAGGCCCAGGAGCCTCTTCCTAGGGCCGAGTTGTTCTCCGTGCCTTCATGGGGACCAAGGCCAGTTCTGGGGAAGCAAGGCTTTGCTTCATAGTGGTACATTTGGTGGCAGATGGCCCCACAGCCACTGCACATTAGTGGCCCTGTACTAGGGCTGCTGAGGAGACCTGGGAGGTGTTGGGAAGGGGCGGAGGCAGGTGGAAAGCACCCACGCTTTGTCAAGCATTTCACATCGATGCTCCATTGGGACTGAGCTCTGTGACGCCCAAGAACACAGTAGAGGTCTCAGTGAGAACCAAGCTTCTTCCATGACCTTGGTCAATTTACGTGACCTCTTTGTGCTTCAGTTTCTCCGTCTGCCAAGCTCTCAAGTACTATGATTTTGTGATTAAGAACTCCACATCAAATTGATGGGTTTTGTCTCCTACTTATAGAGATTTTTCTCTACCCCAGGTTGCCTCTTAAACAGAGGCCTCTTCAGAGAGGAGCATGGGGCATGATAACCTGGGATTCACTATCCAGAAAGATACTGTTGCAAATAAAAATGAATGTAACCAGCATTTATTGAGCTCTCATGTGCCAAAAGCTCTACAAAGCACTTTGAGTGTATTATCTAAAAGAAATTAGAACTGGGTTGCTAGTGCCTTTAGAAACTGAAGTGTATGTGTGTTTATGTGTGTGTGTCTGTGTGTGTGTTTCAGAAGATTTTTGTATGAAGCAAAAACTGTCAATTAAAATAGCATGTCAGTTTTTTTTCACTCTCCTGAATCATATGTATCTCCTCTGCATATATGTATACATGTCTCCATTATTAATTTTTTTAAAATTTATTCTAATTTGTTATTTATGACAGCAGAATGAAATTCAATTCATATTACACATATAGAGCACATTTTTTCAGGTCTCTGGTTGTACATAAAGTAGAGTCACACCATTTGTGTCTTCATACATGAACTAATGTCCATCTCATTCCACTGTCTTTCTTACCCCTATGCCCTTTCCTTCACCTCCCTCCCCTTTGCCCTATCTAAAGTTCATCTCTTCCTCCCATGCTCCCCCTATCCCCATTATATATCAACATCCTCATATCAGAGAAAACATTCAGCATTTGGTATTTTGGGATTGGCTTACTTTACTTAGCATTATATTCTACAACTCCATCCATTTACCTGCAAATGCCATGATTTTATTCTCTTTTAGTGCTGAGTAATTGTGTATATACACCACATTTTCTTTATCCATTCATCCACTGAAGGCCATTTAGGATGGTTCCGCAATTTAGTTATTGTGAATTGTGCTGCTATAAACATTGATGTGGCTGTGTCCCTGTAGTTTGCTGTTTTTAAGTCCTTTGGGTATAGACTGAGGAGTGGGATAGCTGGGTCAAATGATGATTCTATTCCCAGTTTTCCAAGGAATCTCCATACTGCTTTCCATATTGGCTGAACCAATTTGCAGTCCCATCAGCAATGTATGAGTGTGCCTTGCTAATATTTATTAAGTACCTACCACATACCAGCCCCTGTACTAAACTCTCTACCTTCACATGGTTTCATTTCATCTCCTAACAGTCTTCCATAATGAATATTGTTCCTGTTACTGTGGAAGAAAGAGTCAGAGAAGTTAAGTGACTTGCCTGAGGTCACACAGCCAGGTCACACTCAACTTACATCTATTTGACCCCAAAGTCAATGTTATCTTTCTTTTGTTGAGCTATCCCCCATTGCAGTGTGTCTGGAAGAATTTAGACTCTTCTACTGATACATGAGCATGCCCAGAATGTCTCCATTCTAATCCTATGAACAATGGTTTCCTTAGCATCTTAGTGGGTAGATCTGTGATTACAACCCATAGCCAGATACTTCCTGAGGGACATTGCTGACATGTAACACAAGAGAAAGATTATTTATTGAGCCAGTGTCAAAGCTGTGAAGGATTTAGTAATCAGTACCTGTATTGTTCCAGGAGAGGACACTGAAAGTAGCAAAGAGAGCTGCTTGTCCAGGTTCTCAGAGGTGGAGCTGAAATCTAGGTCTCTATCTGTCAGGGCTTCTTTCTATTTTGCTGCCACTGCCTCCCTTATAATATCTGCCCTCCTCAGAAATTTTAATTGTGTGTGTGTGCATGTGTGTGTGTGTGTGTGTGTGTGTACACATGTATGCCTAGCACAAAGGAAAAGATAGCAGGAGAGGGGTGAGTGGGAAGAGAGCAGGAAGTGAGGGGAGCAAGGCTGAAAGACCAGCATCTTTTTGTGCCAGATGTGATGTTTCGGATGGCCGGACAAGAAAGGCAACATCTTCATGATGGCTTCCCATAATGGACTGAAGCAGAGCACGCCTTGGAACGCTTCTCTGAGACGTTCTGCTCCTGCCTTGCAAACCTCAGACTCGAGAAAACCAGTTCATGAATGCCCTCATGCTTTGGAGGTAGCAGAGACAAAGCAATTGTGTCACGGTGAGCTGGAGCTGAGACTGCCACTTCATTTCCTTTCCCATGGGAAATCGGAGCGTCACCAGCGTTGAGGAGACTCTGTGATCCTCCCAAGTCTGCCTCTCCATGCCCTCTCTTCCAAATGCATTTTAGAAGCTAATGATTCTTCTGCTGGCATGAATTGAAGGGATCCACTGCACACACCCCCTACTCCAATCAGCAAGGATTTGTCAATGTGAAACCCTAAAAGGGTAGTGTGTGGAAAAGGAAGATCCCGGGCGCCCTAGATTCTAACCCTTCATTATAATGAATAACACGTGAGACAGGGCTGGGGGTGGGCAGGGAGAAGATGCATCATTCCCTTTCACTGAGGTCACACTGCCCTTCTCTTTTCAGAGAACAGCTTTTTTTTTTTTTTTTTTATACATGCATGCCACACTCACGCACGTATGCACACTCCCTGTAAGAAGGCAGCAAAGCATTTGGTCACCTATGGGCCACTTGGCTTCTTCAGAGTTGAGTGAGATCACAAAAGGCTGACACCTCCAATATTCCTCAGCAACAGCTTATGGACTTGCATAAGCAGATGAAAAAAAAAAAAGAGGCTTGGGATGTATTAAAAAACATGTATGTATATGATGGATGGAAAGAGAGTGTGCAGGAATACCACACAAATGAATGTCTTTCTGTATTTTTGGAGTCTTTTTTGTTTCAGGCCCGTGGTGATGGTGCCTTGGAAGGGTTCTGGAATTTCAGAACACAAAGTAGCAGTTTTAAATAATGAGAGAAGATTCCACATGGAACGCTCATCTAGCTGTGGCAGCCTGTGACTGAATGAGAGAAAAGTGCCCTAGAAGCTATTCATTACGAATTCACTGGAAGCTCTCAAACGAGGCTGGCAGAAGCTGAAATTGAAGTGGTCTCTGACCTAATTTTCTTCTGCATGAAACATCTGCATCAAGGCTCTCTTTGATGTATTCCACTTGGCTCTGTCTACGGGATTGTATCACATGGCCTCGGTGTTGCCTCCTTATTGAAAGACATTTTCAGCCTGTGCAAGGTAATGCGATGTTACTGTTACCCAAGCTAATCACTCAATGTGCTCCTAAAATAGAAACAATAGCAGTTCAGAGACAATGTTGTCTGCTGGCTGTTCCTGCAGCTTGGGCTCCTGGTTTTCCAAGTCAGATCTGTGGCATCCGCCTCATGTCATCCCAAAACAAAGGAGAGGAAGACAGGCAAAGCCAGGCGAGATCATGTTGGAGGACCAGAGGCATTATGTGTGAGAAACTCCATCTTATTTGGTCCTTCAAACCATTGGCTTAGGATTTGGGCTCCATTTAAAACCACACAGAGCGGTCCTGCAGGATCTCTACCTTCAGACGTGAAGGATCTCCTGATTTAGGTGTGCATTTTTTTTATCAATTCTGATTGACACAACAGCTGAGGGAGAGAGAGAGAGGGGTACTGAATCTTGAGTGTTTTGTGATTCTTAGTGATCTATGAACCACTTTTAAAAATTCTCTTTCCCCTCCTAAGCTCTCCCAGCCTAGGTAGAATGCAGGAGTGAATTTTAAAAAGCAATAATGATAATAATCTTTTTTTAAAGCCACCGTAATGAGGCATCTTCTTTATGCTGCCAGAATAGAGCTCGCCTTTCCCCATGGAGGTTTGCTGCGCTGTCTTGCTAATGGTGTGCCGCTGTTCCCCACCATCCCAGCTTTATGTGAATAACCGTGGTGTCTTTTGTGTCCCACCCCCTGAAGAAGAAACCTTTGAAATTCTAAATGACTGTGCTGCAGGTTTTAATGTCTGCTTCTGAGAAAGAATTGAGAAACACTCACTGTGCAAGATGCAGCTTGCCCACGAAAAGCCTTCCGCTTGACTCCTCTGTCCCTCGAATTTAGATGAATAGAGTTTCTCAGGGATGCCCTAGAGTCATCTTGAGGCCAGGAGAGAATGACAGATGTGATCAACAGCCCCCTTGTGCCCAAATATTGACACCCCTGTGGACAAATATGTAGTCACTTCCTTCTCTCTGGTGCTTCCTAATCAGATGAAGCCATCAGACATGAGGCCTTTGGGAACGAGCAGAATGGCTGAGATCAGGTCGTGATCCGGTTTTCTGGCAGGGAAGAAAGACTCAGAAAAGTGGGTGTTTTTGCCTACCTGTTAGTGAGCCTCCACAGAGAGGCCAGGAAGGGTGTAGGAGCTGGAGTCACAGTAGGCATCCTTGGTCATCCTAGAGAATAAACTAGATATCCCCTCCTCCTGGAGTCACCCCTCATCACTGTCACCATACTGGGGCCTCCAAGGCAAGCAGTAGGCATTTGGAGTGTTGTAAACTACCCGTGTTCTCTGTCAAGCTGTGATGACTTGAAGGTAAGCACGGTATCTACTTTTGTAGTCTCAAAGTCCTCCACTGGTAGGTGGACCCATCCAGCCCCAATTTGCCCAAGACTTTCTTGGCTTCAGTACAAAGTCCAGTGTCCTGAAAATCCACCCCCCCCCATTTCTGGGCAAACCACGGGGTGCAAGGTAAATGCTCAATAAATGTGTTAAGTGAATTGAAAAGAAAAACACCATATTACCCTTTCCCTGTACCTAGTAAACTTTAGGATTGCTTTTGAAGGTCTTTCATTTCTCTCTCCAACTAGAAGATGAAAATCTCAGCAGAGCCCCCACTGTCTCAGTCCTGATGTCTACCTAAGAAGCACAGACCTGCCAAATCTCGCAGGCACAGGATCAGAATCCTGGACCGAGAAGAGGACTTGACGAAGACTAGTGTAAAATGTTCTCTGCATCCATTTCCTCAAGAGACTATAAACCAATAGCAGGTATCTTGTCATAAAGATGCAAGTAATAAAGGCAGTGAAGGGAGAGGGAGAAGAGGAAGAGGAGGAAGAGAGAGAAACAAGTAAATACATGATAGATAGATAGAATAGATAGAGTTTGAAAGGAGAGGAGGAGAGAGAAGGGGAGGGAAAGACCCAGCTCTCAATCACAGATGCTCAGCTGTTGTTATGGTTTGGATGTGAGGTGTCTCCCAAAAGCTCATGTCTGATACAATGAAGAAGGTTTAGAGGAGGCATGATTGGGTTATGAGAATCTTAACCAAATTAGCACATTAATCCCCTGATGGGGATTATTAGCTAAGTGGTAACTGAAGGCCTTGGGGCATGTATATATTTTGTATCTGGCAAGTGGAGTCTGTCTGTCTGCTTTCTGATCATCATGTGAGCCGCTTCTCCCTGCCACACGCTTCCACCACCACGTTCAGCCTCACCTCAAGCCCCAAGGAATGGAGCCTGCTGTCTATGGATTGAGACCTCTGAAACCATGAGCCTCCAAATGAACTTTTCTTCCCCTAAGATTATTCTGGTCAGATCTTTTAGTCACAGCAACAACAACAAAAAAATCTGACTAAAAACAGCTCTCCAGGTTTAACTTGACCTGAGGGCCCTACAGAGTCTGTCCCAGCCTCCCTTTCTGACCTCATCTCTAAATGCTGTCCCCTCATTCAGTAATCCCCACTCCAGAGAGGTCTCCCACGCCTAAACCGGACACTCGTTGGCTTTGGTCCAGAGTAGTCACCTTCTTGGAATGTTCTTCCCCATGTGTCCATAGAAACATCTCCCCTCTTCATTCCAAGTGGTGGCTCTGAGAACCTTCCCTTACCACCCTGGGTGGATGAGTACTTCCTGTCATCCTGCCACCCTGTTTCATCTTCACATGGAAACGGGTGCACTTGAAACTCAAGTGCTTGAGATTCTCTAGGAAAATCAATGAACTAAATATTTAAATTTAAAAACTTCCAGGCATTTAATGTAAAATCTTGTGGCCAATGGCTACCATTTTGGACAGTGGCAGACCTGGGAAAGTCCTTCAAAGTTGAGTTCTTCTATTTCACTTTCTACTCTTTTATTGGTTCTCAGAACAGTGCCTGGCACATAGAAGGTATTCAAATTTTTTTTTAAAGAAATTAATGAATCTAGGCATGAGCCAAGTGTCACCATTTGCATTACAACCCAACAAGTCAAACTGATTCTGAATTCCGATCATTTAGATTATGATTCAAAATGATATTACACCCGAGGGGGCCCTTCAGCTGTGGAGCTGTCAAACAGATTTTCTCAGACCAAGTTACAATATCTTATTAAACCTCAGTTTCCTTATCTGTTAAATGGGGACATTACTGTCCCCATTACTGCACAGTATTTACGAGTCTTTAAAGGGATCTGAAATACTAGATGTTCAATATGCTGAGCTCTTCAGTGACATGCACAAAAAAAAATCCTATATGTAAGCATATGGCCATATTTGTAGGAAAGCAGTTTGAAGGATGTTAATGTGTGATGTTCTTACCAGTGATTACAATTTTGGAGGAGAGGGGTGATTTATTTGCATTACAAAATGATTCCTTGCTGAACGAGAGATCTCACAACAGACTTCTCTCAAAATAGCTTCAGTCCCTGATGCATCTTAAATAAAAATATATCCTTAAAAAATCCAGGGTCTGTGCAACTTACTGCATAAAACCAGGTTCACCTGTATTTTCAAGAAGGAATTAAAATGTCTCCTGGATTTGGTTGTTTTCTCGTACTATCTCTTTTTCTAATATTTTGCCATAATTCATTAGTTATACTCTTGTAAGGAATATGACTAATTCATTCTTTCTATTGGTTCATCCATCCCTTCTCTTGGCTCTGCAGTTATTTAAAACTCAGGGAAACCCTCTCTTGATGGCACAAGGAGTCCACTTTCCCAAAACAAACACTAAAGTAAGATAATACGTGGGAAGCTTTTAAAATAGCACCTGACATACTAAGCACACAATAAATCCTGTTGCTGTTATTGTTGCTGCTGATATTACACGGAACTTGCAATGTTTGGGAGGAAAAACAGGAAACAAACATCTACATGATCAGAATTACCTCCAATACAAAGGAAGGGATATAAAATATAAATATAAAACAGGGTATAAGCTGCAACCTCAGGGAGAGCACCTGAGGCTAGATCCCAGAATCGTGCTCTGTCCAGCCATTGGACAGCAGGGTTTGTAATCCCAATTGCAAAGGTAATATGATCCTGCTTCTGGAATATTGTTGAGTCACCCTCAAGTGGACTTTTATGAAAAGTATATCCAGACCACTTAAAAGGACAGAGAGCTATGATTTCATCTTGTTAGATGGACTGGTTTTTTGTTTTGTTATGTTTTGTTTTTGCCTACCGGCCAATAAATGTAGTTTATTAAATGTCTATAGATATGGCAAATATATATTTCTTATAAATATATGTTTATATTATATATATATATTTTTATATATTTATATTTATTTCCCCAGAAAAATGATGTGATCAGGTTTCTGAGGCAGTGGCTGCTTTACATTAACCAAGGAAGATAGCTGCTAGGAGGATCCATTCTGTGAACGAAAAGGAAGAGCGGGACACAGAGATCTAAAGAGCACAGAGCTAATTTCATTGAGTAGACATTTGTTGAGACCCCACTTGGTGTAAATATAATCCCGGGGACAATGGAAGGACAAGCAGAGGGTCTAACAATTGTCTGCCTTCAAGCACTCTACAGTTTGTAGGGGAGCTGAAATGTGCCCACTAAATGCTAAGGAAGGCAAAGTCTATGGAGAAATTAAAAAAAAAAAAAAACCTGGGCTGGACTGGAGAAAGGATCTCAGTTGGCTGCCTCCTCTTTGTCATCTGTTCCTGCTCCCTTCCCCCTCCAACACCACCAGCCTTCGCCCTGAGCCTGCCCAAGGACAATAGGGAGCGGCCCTTGATGAGGCTGGGGGATTCCCTGTCTGTCTCCCAGCACACAGTCGCCTTGCTTTGACTTTGCTCTGTGGAAAATAAATCACAGCCTCTCAATCCCTGGTGACTGTCCCTGGGGAGCTGAGACCTCACCTCCTCCCTGGAGCCCGCTGTCACATGGGATTGTCAGGTACAAAGAGGAGACCTTCTGAGGCCCACACCCCGTTTGGAGAGCAAGGAGGGTCAATGGGAATAATTGCTAACAGTTGAATGTGAGCGACTGCAGAGGGATTGGAAGGAAAAGGCTTCAGGAAGGGAAGAAAGAAAAGGAGGAAAAGAAAAGCCCTCACCACCCGCCCCCCAGCCTCCATAGTCTGTGCACAGAGAACTGCATGGTGGTCTGGGTCCTTGTAGAACATTTGTGTGCCGGACAATAGCACAGCCTGGCTTCAGATCATCAGCTGCTGGTTTCTGGTTAGCTCTCCCTTTATGTGAGTGCACAATGCAAGCCTTCAGTCACAGTGACTCTTGAGAAATACATCTGGTTTTTTCTTTCAGACGCTCTGAAAAGGTCAGCCTGTTCGTTTCTTAGACGCGAGACACCACATATTTTTTTTTTTTTCTCCCTCTGAACTGGAAAGACAGACCTACACCTTTTCTTGCCTCCTGGTACATAATTAGACATGCTCAGCTCTAGAAGCCAGCCAGCCCATCCTCTGCACTTTTTCAGAGACATATAGCCCAGCTTCCTAGGCGGCTGAACTCCTGGGCTGATCACAAAGGCTCCATACAGTCCTCCTTCCCCGGGCAGGGTACCCGGGGACTCTCTGCTGGTTGTTTTGTTAATTATGACAATGACCCCCTCCCCAGGCTGCTCCCCCAACACAGTGCATGACCAATGATGCTGTCTTGGCAGAAGGAAGGCTTGAGAATTTCTGCACACACACACACACACACACACACACACAGCACCAAAAAACCCCACATTTTAATCATTTTCACCCCAGTGATGGTAAAGATTCTTCATGCGCATTGTAACATAATAATAAATGTGCCCATGAGGAAAGAATGATCAGCAGCTGGTGTCTGACAAATTATCTCATTCCAGACAGGCAAACAGTCCACAGTAGGGAGAGGCTGGAGCCTGAAGAGGCAATTTGGCACACGATTGGGGTTTCACCTCTCGGATGATGGAGGTCCAAATGGCCCACCGCGTCTGGGCCTGGGCCTTGGAGGCTTCCTCTGCCTCTCCTATTCTCTCAACACCTCCCAGAGCTCCTGACAGCCGTAGAAAAAGGGATTATTCTCTGGGCTTAGCCAGCTCATCCCTCGCCCCTCCTCCAGGGCACTCATATTCCAATCAGAAGCAGCAAAGACGGCCCACCCCCTGCCAAGAGCCTTGCTCTTTCCTATTTCCTCTCCTCCGGATGCCCTGGCCTCCACTCTACATCCTATTCTGTGTTCAAAACCCATCTAGATGCCTTCTCTCCTTTTGCAAAAGAGTGTTAGTTGCTCTTCTGGAAGCTTCTAGCACCTCTTCCTTGGATTTTTATGACCCTGTCTTGTAGTTGTTTGTTTTCGGTGACCTCTTTGGGAGCAGCTACCATGTGTTTTTAATGAACCTTAGTGTCAGGTACCCATCTGAGTGCTTTTCCGCTATGAGCTTGTTTAATCCTCAGGACCCTAGCAGGGAGGACTTCTCTTCCATTTACAATGAGGAAACTGGAGATTTATTTATTTTGCATCTTTATCCCAGCAGGATTCCTGAGGCAGCATGGTGGGACTGGAAAAGCCCAGCTTCACCTCTGTCCCCGTCTCCTAGGTGCCTTGAGGACACATGAGCCTTAGGGCTCATTTCCATGAAGGGCCAGAGACCTGCCTTGCTGGGTTGTTATGAGGTTTCAAGGTAATATGTTTCGTCTCTGTGGTTCTGATCACAGACCTGGTCTGTAAGTCTATTTTTGGTGATTGTTTTTTAAGCCAGTTTCCTTCCAAAATGTGCACTCCATGAGGGTGAAAGCACTGTAGCCTTGTTCACACCTACATTCCCCATTTCTAGAACACTACTAGTCACCCTGTAGGAGCTGGGTCAAATTTTGGTGAATATATAATGAATCAATTGAGCGATACCAAGATATGAGGACATAGTCTATGTTTAACCTGGGTCATGAGTGCAGCCAACTTCCTGTGAAATGTGGCTCTGGGCTGAGACAGCACCCCCTGAGAGCCAGAGATATTTGAACAATTCTTCCTTGGGTTGCTGATTTAGATGGATCAGCCTCCTCAGTATTGTTTCCCCGATTGAAGTTCTTGTTGGTGTAAGTGACTATATTAGAATAGCACTCCCTTCTCTGCGGGAGAAAATTGAGGTTGCTGGCAGCTGTCTCTTAAAATAACATTTTAGAGTCATATTTAAGAATCAGATATTCAGCAGTTACGATCTGCATCCCCACTATGTGCCTTTACACAGTGTATGAATATGTGGACCAGGTCTGATTCAATCTCCAGGTGAAGCAGGATTATTATCCCCATTTTAGAGATGATTAAAATTAAGTCTCAGAATGACTATATAACCTGCTCAAAATCTTATAGCTTTTAAGGAACAGATCAGAAACTTGATTGCCTATAATTCAAGTAGGAACTTGAATGCTAGGGTCAGAACATGATATTAATTCTGCAAAAAGCTATCAAATGGGAAGTGTATGAATCTCAGCAACCTATGTTCATACACCATATATTGCTATCTGGAGCACTAAAAAACAGAACAGAGAAGAGAAACAATAAATTGTAGCCATTTTCAATGGTAAACACAAAGCAAGGGGGCGCTCATAAGCCAGATGCAGACACCTATAATATGTTTGCTTTCAGCACATATCTAAAGCTAGACCCACATATTGGGTCTAGCTTCTACCTTTAACATTCCCTCTTTATACCTAGAAGGAAAAGCACACATTCTTGTCTGGGATAACTCTAAAGAGAATCCAAAAGAATTCAGTCTCTTATGTTATACCTCACAGTGGAGGACTAAAATTTGGCTTGGGGTTTCATTCTGTAATAGCTTCCTTTTAGTGGTGTTTATGTTAGACATATAAAAGACTCACAGTCATCTATTATCTCCCAGGTTTAAAAATAATCACATCTCCTATTCTTGTATTGCAATTTGGAATCAAAGAAGACTAAAAACAAAGACAAAAATAGTTCCTGGTATTAAATCTCTTGATTGGTTTAAATCAAATATTGTTATATTTTTAAAAGGAAACCTAAGGGGACCCAGCTTTTCCATAGATACAATATCTGTGAATAATAGCTCTCCAACACAAAAGAAGAGTTCAAATCTTTATCCAGCCAGGTGTGGTGGCGCACACCTGTAATTTCAGTGATTCAGGAGGCTGAGGCAGGAGGATCCCAAGTTCAAAGCCAGCCTCTCCGCAACTTGTGAGACCCTGTCTCAAAATTTAAAAAAAAAAAATGTTAAGGATATATCTCAGAGGCTCAATGGTAGAGTACCCTTGGGTTGAAGCCCTAGTACTAGAAAATGAAAAAAAAAAAATCCTCATCAAACCCCCCCTATCAGGGTAACTCATACTTATATGGTTATACGGGTGGCCAGACACGTGAATTTCCTTTTGGATTGCTGGATGTGCAAAGATCTTCTTCATGTTAGGATTCTTTCTCTACACTGGGTTTTGAAACTGGGATTTCTTATAACTGAGCAGGAAGTTTAATAGGACATGCCGCATTGCCTTCTAGAATGGGTGGGTCTGGTTGAAGCCACACCCTGTAAGCAGGACAGCTTGCTTTTTCTCAGCCACTTTTACTGGATTTTGAGGTAGTTGGGGTTGAGATGGAGAGCCATCAGAACACCAGAAGAAGTTTCTTAGAATGAACCTAATGAAGTGCATTAGACAGAAATTTGTTCTGTGCACAATTTACTACAGTTTATTATTGATTATAACCAAAACTGTACAAGGTATATAATGTCTTATATAATATACAGATTATAATAGATTTCTCCCAAGGACTTTCCTAATTCCTCCTCCCTAAAACCAAAAATATCCTTAGGCAAATACGGCAACAATGACAACAAAGTCTCTGGCCATTGTGGTCTGGATTCCCCATGTATAAGTTCTTTAGCAAGTGGTTGTTTCAGTTACCATCGGCTGCTAACATTGGCTTGTTTTCTCTGGTTCCATTGACAATTGCTTGAAGTTCACTTGAAGTAGCTAGATTTTATCAACAACAATCTTAAAACAGTTTTCTCCCTGAAATACTCTCCAGTATTGCCAGGACTGGGTGTACTGACTATTATTCTGGAAAGGACTTCTCTTTCTGTCTGCTCTTAATGGAAGCTCAGGAAATCCGATGCTGTGCTATAGAAGTACAATGCTAATAATGAATGTGAACCATATACGTATCCAGATTTTCTAGCAGCCACATGAAAAAGAGTAAAAAGAGGATAAAATTAACTTTAAAATGTATTTTATTGAACTATATATAACATCAAACATTTCAGCATGTAATCAATATATGAAAATGATTAATGAGATCTGTTACATGGTCCCCCCCTCCCCGCCCCCCATACTAAGTTTTTAAAATCTGGTGTGCATTTACTCTGGAGCACATGTAAACCTGGACTGGCCACATTGCCTGTGCTCATAAGACACATATGGCTCACGGTTGGCTACCATGTTGGACAACCCAGCACAAAATCTATGCTGAGGGTTTTGCATTCCAATCAATTGTTTTTGGAACAGAGAGATTTTCATCCGGTTTGCATTTTGATGGGGGTGCTATTTGTAACTTCCTGTTTCAAGTTAATCCAAAAATAACTGCACCATGCACCTTGATAATTCCTGTCTGTTAAACTCCAGGGCTTTGTCCACCTTAACTCCTCTGCACTACTATGTTTAACCACTGCATTTGTAATTGCCATGTTAACACAATAATGCCCAAAGTGCTTCCACCCCAAAGCTGTCACTGTGTAATGTTTTGCTGTTATTGTTGTTATTGCCTTTCTGGAACCTAGGGAGGATAAG